GTGTCCCATTGCTTCTTTAACAGCTCTTCTATCGTCGGAACCTCTTCTGTTTTCCATTTTTGGGCCCAGAGTAATCTAGCTGCTGTGAGCATATACAGTACATCAGTCAATGTTTCAATTTGTTATCATTTACTCCTGAAATGACATTCAATAATGCCAAATTCAATAATTTCTTTTGCTAGATCCCATACCGGTGTCCAATAAATTTTGACCTTTTCACATGTCCACCACATATGATAATAAGTTCCTGCATTTTTTTTACACTTCCAACATATATTGCTGTTACCCTCTGACATTTTTGCTAATCTTACAGGTGTGTAATGCCATCTGTAGAACATTTTGAGTATATTTTCTCTTAAATTTACTGGTTTAAACATCTTATAGCTTTCTTTCCACATCTTAGTCCAAACAAGGATTTTGGAAGGATGGGGAAAGCTAGGACATACCATTGGTTGGCACCCTCAGCCTTGGGCCATGAGACATGCCAGCAAGCCAACCATTTTCATACTGAGGAGGAATAAAGGTAATTTGAAATTCTCTGCCTAGCTACAAGCCTGACACTGTTTTCCTTTGCGTTCCAGGACTACCATCCTGCAGCTGGAGCTGCCCCAAAGGAAGGCAGCTTTGATTGTGCCTGCATTTGAAACTCTGCATTACCGCCTAACCTTTCCCAAATCCAAAGCGGAGCTGGTCTCCATGCTGGACGTGGGCTCCCTCTATACCTTCAGGTAAGAAGGGCTAGATCAGAAAGAGTGTGCTGCCAGCAGCAGAGACACCGGTTCAAAGAATTGCTGTCCCCCAGAACCAAAGGACTTGACCACTCCCAGGGATTTGCCTTTTTTCTTTGCGACTTTGTATTTTGCTGATTGGAAGCCGGCCGGCACATGAATTCAGGCTTCCTGATTCTGGCTATAAATGTTTCTCTTCTTAAAAGTTTTTCTGTATCTATTCTTGTTTTAGACTTCTTTCTCCTTCCATTATCCCTTGCATTTATGGGGTGCTCCTGCTAACTCATTTGCTGGTTTCCTTATTATTTATCCTTTTCTCCTTCATAGCATTCACCTTCCTAATTTTCATCTCTCCCTGCATCTTCCTCCCCCCCTTCCACTTCCCTCCACGCATGGTTAACAGGCTAAGGGCCTTCAAGTTTGATAGTTGGTTTCAGAAGTGCCGGTTATTGCTTATGAGGCCATGAACAGTTCATACTCCATGTATGTGAAAGGCAGCTTCCTCCCTATGTGTCTGCTTGCCCACTTACTGTGGACACCATTGACACCTTGCTTTATTTACATCTTGTTCTTATTGGAAATTTTAGTGGTGCTGTTGGCTGAAGTTTGATCTCTAGGGAAGGGCCTACATAGATGGAACAGCCAGGCTTTCTAGCTACTCCTCTCTTTCACTGGCACTTTCAGGAAGTTAAGCCCTCCTCATTTCAGCCGATGAGGTGCTGAATCCCAGGTAACTCTGCCAAGGCTATGTAGTGGGTCTGTGGCACAGATATGACACAAAGCCATGTCACCTTTATTCATGTGCAATTCTACTGGCAAGGCTGAAAATGTTTGTATAAATGAAGAGCTCTAGTGGGCAGGCAAGCAAGGCAATATAGTGTACTAGTTAAAGTATTAGACTAGGCCCATGGATTTCCTAAAGAACAAGTTCCCACTCAGCCTGCAAATTTATGGGGTGATCTTGTCCTAGTTACAACCTTATTGAAGCTGTGAAAGGAAACATGTATAGGAAGTGAAAGACAGAGCAAAACTCGCAAAAAAAATGAATCATTATTCCATTTAGTTAGATAGGCTGTCTTTTGTGACCAGCTGTGAAACACAGTTCTTTTCATGAGCACAAGGAAATGATCAGATTGATAGAATTAAGGTGCTCTGCTTGCCCCTTTCTTTCTCAGCCAAGGGACCATCTGGAGGCAAAGATCTCCCTCACATAGGATTTTCCTAATCCCGCATGTTTCTGTGCACAGGTACCATGTGTGGCCACAGGGCCATGCAGCAACAGATTATGCCAAGTGGCGGACAGCCACAGTGCCGTATCAAGTGGAGTGGCAGCCACACTTTGAACCTTACGTTGTAGTAAGGCGTGACTGTCCCTTGTATGACCAGAGGTTTGTAGGCTTCGGCTGGAACAAAGTGTCCCACATTATGGAGCTTGATGCCCAGGTGAGTGTACTGCAAGCCACTGCTCTTGGGTTAGCGCTTCCTGTTTCCAGGAGTGCTGGGGCTGTTGGGAAAGGCCTCAAAGGTGACAAACCCTATAAATGACTTTTTTTCAAAAGGAGTATGAGCTGCTGGTCCTGCCCAATGCCTTCATGATCCACATGCCTCATGCTCCCAGTTTTGACATATCCAAATTCCGCCGGAGCTCCAGCTACCGGGACTGCCTGAAGACTCTGCGGGAAGAATTCCATCAGGACCTGTCACGCAAGTACGGTGCTGCTGCCCTCAAGTACCTCACTGCTGAGAGAAGCCTGTGAATTACAACTTATGCACCAAAGGAGAGTCTGTGGAAGACCTGCAGAAGGACAGGGGTCCTCGCTTCCTGGAGAGGCTCAAACCTGCAGGAGAGTCACACTTCCAGGGGTAACCTGGTGGTATCATCCTTCCTGGCTTCAGGGTTATGCATATTCAGTGGGAAACAAACCCAAATTCTCCTCAGACTAAACTAGGTGAGCTATATTTTTATGACTCCGTTACCTGTTCCATACTGCCTCCAGATTAAGGGGAAGATACACTGTGGGGTGTATTTTCCCCACAAGTAGCCCAAACCCCTTGTGGTCTTAGTTTTGTGGTGGGCATGCAGTTCAGGTTTCTTCTACTATTTTGCATCTCTGCATCAATCAACTAGCACAGCTGTTTACTTTCTCCACAGTTTTTAGTTCTTGTATTTGATCTTGCATACCTTAGAAAGTATAGCTGTAAATGGGTACGAGTCGTGATGGATATAGATCACCTCCAATATCAGAAGCAATATATTTTTGAATCTCTGGGCAGAGGAACACAAGGGAGAGTGTGGTGTTGCTATTGTTATATTCACATTTTATTCTGAGCTCCCCAAAGGCATCTGGCCGCTGTGTGAACAGATTGCTGGATTAGATGAGCCTTTGGTCTGATCTAGCACTCTGAGGGTATTCTGAGCTCCCTATAGGCATCTGTTTGAACAGATTGCTGGACTAGATAAGCCTTTGGTCTGATCTAGCACTCTGAGGGAAGCTCATTTTAGTTACTTCCACTCTTACCTTCTCTCTGTTGCTTGTGCCATTCCATGAAAACCAAATCTACGGATTTGGTTTTCATGGTAGGATTGAATTATATTCATTAACTAAGTGTGTGCCGATGTTGGCACCCTCCCCTGGTGGCACAATATTTGACCTTGTAACACCTCGATTACATCTATTCTGATACATATGGAAGATATACATATAGTAAATACATGTACTATATGTATTTATTTTTATCTTTTTTGTATCTGTGGATCCTATCTATGTGTCATGGATAGGGAATATTGTTTGAAAAGAAGTATGTGATGAATAGCACCATTGTGCTGATTCTGGACAAAAAGTTTAAAAGTTATTTCAGAGTAATACTTCATTTATACACTTCAGTTTTGGATCCATGCATTGAGCAGGAGGTTGGGCTCAATAGCCTTATAGACCCCTTCCAATTTAATTATTCTATGATTCTATACAGGAAAAAAAGGTAAGTGCAGCAAAAACCATGACCATAATTATGGTTGATTTGCAAACGTTTTGCTGTTACTACATAGCCCTAAACAAAGATCTTTTTCAACAGGGCTGGTTAGTTGTGCCCTTGGAAAGTGTATACGTAAGGTGTTTTGTTGATGATTTATACTGCTGCCACTGCCCTCACCATGTGAAATGCATAGGTATATAGCCTCCTTATAGAGTGGCTGTATTTAGCTACTGTGGCTAATTGTCACTGAATCTTGCTAACTAACAGTCACAATCTTGAGGTTGCATGCCATTGCCAAATGAGCTTTTCCCCCTCTTCAGGAGTAAGGTGAAATCTGATGCAGCCCTCCACTACCAAGCAACTGGCATGTGGCCTTATAGTGCTGTTTTCCTAACAACTGCTCATTCTAGGCAGGTATACAAGCTGCAAATTTAGGCCTTCCCACAATGGACTTGGGCTATCTTCCCCCTCAATGGACTTGGGCTATCTTCCCCTATCAGGATAGGATTGGAGCTAGTGGCACAGTCTAATCTGTTAGGCATTTGCAACTTGAAGAGAAAGTATTACCCTCTGTAGAATGTTGACCTTACAACTGATTAGAGAAGATGGTCTTGGATCTAGTCTCTGGATGGTAGCAGAAGACCCATCAAGATACTGCTGATGAGCACTGCAGCTGGATGCCTGCGCTGGGAGCAGCATCAGCCCAGCATTGGTCCACAATTATCAAACACTGGAGCATGAAGATACGGACATAATGCGCAAGCAGTTTCCTCACTTGCTATTTATATAATTTAAGGTGACTTTTCACAAGGTATAACTGAATTGGGGGTGAGGTATTTTTTAACAGTTCTGTTTTATCTCTGAGTATCTCCAGCACCTTTTGCTGCTGGACTCTGGTTTTTGTTTTCATTTCCTGGCATTATGCAAGAGCTTCCAAAGTGCTGGGACTGAGATTTTCCGTCCCATGGTAAGGCAGCTTCTGTGATTGCTGAAACTGGCCCATGCAGAACACTGTACAGAACAGACACAAGTGTTTCCTGCCTATTTTAAATTAAACATTTTTAGAAACTGTATTTTCTCAACCCTTTGTTGTCGATGTGTGCTTATTCTGATGCATGCGAACTGTTATACAAATACATGAATGAGAGAGGTAATGGCTAATGAGTTTCTCAAGTCACTGTAATAGGCGACAACAAAAGCCTGAATATTTTGCTCTCAGCAGAGCTGTAACCATTAGCTAGCCCTTGCAGGAGTCTTCGACTTTCATGAATTGAAAAGGTTAGTATTAAAAGTCCAAAGGGTGTATGTCTAGCAAACATTAGCCCATCACATTGGAGAACGAGAAAGTGGAGGAATTAGAAATGGCGATCTACAGATCTGTAAAGAACGGAAATTCCTCCTTGGAAACAGGTTTTCCACATGTCTTAACTCTACACTTCTTAGTACCAAACCAGATGTATTAATCAGACTAGTGGTGGGCAATTATCCTTAACTCTACACTTAGTACCAAACCAGATGTGACAGTATTAATCAGACTAGTGGTGGGCAATTATTAAATTGCACAGTGTATCTATGGGGAAGAGGCAGCCAAGCCACTGCCTGTTTACTTCTAAACTTGTAGCAATGGGGAAAGGGAAGAAAATGGTTCTAGCATGGGGCAATGCATATTTGCAGAAGTGGGTTCAGTTCCCTCACTCATTCTGATTTGAAACTTCCACCTGCTTGCTTTCTACTGAGTAGCTGTGATTCTGCAGAGTAGCTGAATATCATGTTCATGTACTTAGGAAAGACCTCTCATAATACCTGAGTACGAGTACTAAAGCAGGTGGGAAGATGGTCAGAAACTTTGCTGATTTAGGAACAGAGAAAAAAACAAGATAGGAGTAGGAATAAATAAATCATTTGGAAAAACTGGTAAGCAGGTTTGTGCCTGCAAAAGGACAGGTGGCTGAAGATGGAGTGATAAGTGGCCAAGGCTGTTTCTGAAAAGCACACCTAATTTTAAATGCTTCCCATCCATATACAGACATGCACTTAAGGTGTTCTTTATAATACAGACCGTAGCCCTCAGGCTAACCACAGCTTCTTTTCTCAAATGTACCTCTTGTGAGGAGTGAACACAATGCCCCTCTTGTAGTTAAAGAGTTTCAGATTCATTTTGAGAAGCTGTGTTTAAAAATTAATTTCCTAGCTCGCAGCCTCCAATTGCTTAGCAGACACACAGAGACAGCTGTATAATAAAATACAATTACGAAGAAAAATATTTTATTGTTTTATTTATTAAAATGTTAAATAAATACAAATTAATCATTTATTCCAAACCCCCTCCTTTTGTTCCCACTTTAATAGACCAAATCTAGACACAATATACCAAACCCACAAGGGACTGGAAGGCTACACAAAAAAAAGGCAGCAAAGAGACTGAAAATCACTATGAGCACCAGGCTATATTTTTTAAAAACAAAAACCCCACCAACCAAACCACTCACAGGGTGTTGATCTTTGACAGTGAAGTCATTTAAAGAAGGCCTTCAAATGGGAACTCAGGATGCACAGGCAGCTCAAGTGAAGATTAACTTATCTGCTATAAGCAGGGGAGGAAAAGATTGAGCGTGTGTGTTTCTGTGCATGTTTATGGCTGTGTTTGTGATTGTTACTGGATGAAGAACTTCACACATTAGTTTATATGGCTAGAAACCCATTGTCCCCAGTGTAAAGGCTGAAGGCTTCATATTAGAGCTGTGGCAGTTCAACCACATATAGTCTACTCCAAAGAGCATCCTGTTACTAGGAATAGTCTGGCATCAACAGAGATTGTGGCCTTCGAAAAGAGAGAACTGGTAGTTCATTAGTAAACAATCACAGCCATTTCCTCTGCTACTGCAAAATGGACTGAAACGATCAAAGAAGTCACAGATAAATTTAATATCAAATCACCACTTGTATCTGACACAACAGGCAAGGAAACAGATATTTTGTGGTTGCCAGTTCAGTTATGATGAACTGATGCACAGTTCCTATGGCATCCAATTTTTAATCTGGATTCGCACACTGTAGATCTGGTATAATCATAGATTAGCACTAACTGTCTTTTTCATGTGTGTGTGTGTGTGTGTGTGTGTAAGTAAAGATCAAACCCAAACAGTAAGCAAGTATGTTTCTTCTTTAGATCTCTATAACTTTGTTTGATCTCTAACAGGAGTAAAACAACAGTAATAATTGAAAAGCTTACTGTGATCTTTGCTGGCACACAAGATCCTTAGAATTAGGCTAGTTCCGTTACTGTGATTTAAGCACCATTTCTCCGCCAGGAAGGCTGAGCATACAGATGTAGGTGCAAGTGCTGCGACGTAAGTGGACTTGTCAATCAGTTGGGATAGGATGGAGTAAGGATACAGTGCTTATAGCTCAGGAAAAATGGTGGAATTAACACACAAGATTTCACAAAGAAAACCCTAGTTAAGCTGGGATAGAGTAGGTGGTGCTAAATCCGTAAGTCACAGCCTAATTCTGATGACAGTAATTAAAATAGAGAAGATATGTAGAGCCATTAAAATCTAACACAACAGATGTGGATTTACCCATAGTCATCTTCATCGGGCAATGCCTGCTGTTCTTTCTTAGCTGTACAAAGAAATGGTTCAAACTGCAATGGTACAGGAAATGAGTACAACTGAATTTAAGCCAAGCAGGGGAGCCTGTAGCCCTCCAGATGTTGCACTTTGAATTCCATCAACTCCAGGTGGTATGGACAATGGTCAGGGATGATGGGAATTTTAATCTGATAATAGCTGGACGGCCACAGGTTCCCAACTCCGGCTTAAACCTTTCCATTTCAGTACTCAAACTGTGCCCTCATTTACAGAGCTTAGGGATATACTGCCACACATACAAATCTATACAGATCAATCTTACAACTAGAGAAACAAACTGAGTGGATCAGATTAGCCGTGCACCATCATGCTGGACTGTTCAAGGGTACAAAAATAAAAGCAGAAAGAATAGGCTAAATATAAGAATGCCTTACTTATGCTCAATGGTTAAGAGAATTTAATGGATAAATAATCAATGAGTAAACTTTCAAATCTTCAAAAGAAGTGGGAAGAGTTAAAATGAAGGTTATATAGACGGTGTGGAGCTAAAGAGGAGAAATAGTGGTATTAGTCTGTAGAGGCCAGATCTGTGGGACTGGTGCAACCCCAAATGACAAAGTTGTAATTTGCATTTAGAAATGAAGAGACAATGCTTGAAGCTCAGCTGCAAAACATGTCTCCCTATTCTTCCAATCTTTAAACTGCAGGTAAGTGCATTAAACTTTCAGCTGCATCCTCAAATCAGTTCTAATATATGCTGCACCACTGCATGATGCAGGACAGAACACCTTCATACTGAATGCAGCATGGCAGAAACATGCCCAAGTGGAAGTCAAGAGAGCCCACAGAACATGTGGAAGAAGAAGAAAATAGACAAAACTAGTTCAAAGCAAATAGCCAGGATACAGTCCTGAAGTAAACAGCACTGGGGGCTTAGAGCACCAATGATGCTTCTGAATGTGTTTGGCTGGTTCCCCATACTCATGTTAGTGCAGTAATTTTTTGCCAAGTACTGTCGCCTGCTGAAGTTTCGACAACTGACCATTCTAACTAGTATTACTGCTTATAATGGAATTCATTATCTAACATGGCAGGTTGTATGTTATTACCCTGGCTCACAAATGTCCTGTAGCACTACACACACTCTCCAATATCTTGAGAGTAACAACAAAAGAACACCAGACACACACTACAGAGCACTGCATACTAGTACTCTCCTGGTCTGCAAACAACACACTTCCCATTCTCAATATGCAACAGTGCTCAGTATTTCTGCATAAAGAAACAAAGATTATTCCATCCTTCATGCTATATTTCCACAAGTCAAATCCAGTAACAATAAACCATTTGAGAGGCAGAGAAAACAGAATAGCTTGGGTGCTGATTGTCCCAGAACAAGCTTGGTGTAAGAGACAAGAGACATGGTGGGAAAGAAATGGCAATGGGAGCGAGGAGACACAGTATCAGAACAATTACAGAACGAAAGGGTCACAAAATGGTACGTGGAGTAAAATACAGCCTTGTTCTTCTCTTTGGTACTAAAAAAATGCTCTGTGGCCACACAGTGCCAGCTGCCACTTCATGAAGGGAGATAAAAGACCCCAAGCCAAGATACTTCAGACTATCATGCATTAATCCAAAGAGTTTTTTAGCACAGGGAAAACTTGCTTGAATAAATCATACCTTAAAGCACAATGCAGCGTTAAACTCCAGCGCTTCTTTCCAATGGGTACAAAAAAAGGCAAAAAAGCCTCTTTTAGGGCATATAAAGAAAATATGTAACTAATGTTTCTATGCTGAGGGAGTGAAAGGAACAATCTTTACCTTCTTCAGGGTTAAACATGGTATGATAACCACAGGGCCACCCCACAAAACAGCTGCACAAACTGAGTTCTTCTCTCTCTCTGTTCAGCTAATGACTAGTAGAATTTGCCATGCTCTGCACTACAAGGTTTGCAACCTGTAAAGGAAAGAATTCAACATAGGGTCTGTTGCTGTCAGAAGCTGTCCCATGTTTACCATTGAGTGTAGTTCTGCTGTCACTTCATCACAGCCACCACCTGGATTCATTAATCTTTGGCCACCCAAAACTGAAGTGTGTTCCCAGGAGAATAGACAAAGGAACAGAAATATGGGTGAGATGCAAGAAAAAAAGGGGGCACACTCAAGGGAACAGCTGCAAGATGAAGTATCATAAGTTTATCTCCGTCAATGATTACATGAGATGTTCCCATGAAGACAACAGCTGGCCTTTTCCTGTACCTTGCAGTTGGCAATTCACTTCTGGGCTTGGGGTAGAAGAACTTGACTGCTCCTCACTTATTACCCATAGACAAGTGCCCCCCCTGCCCTAGTTCACAAGCACCCCTGCTCATTATTCACAAAAATATGCAGCTCTTCAGACATGCAGTATTGCTGTTAGGTGCTTTCTTTACTTCTTGGCAGACAGCAACACCAACGGGTTGAAGGGGCCTGACTAACCTGTTAGTTCCAAAGCTTTTTTATCCATGCATTGTTGTAAAGAGGGTTTCCTCTGCAGGCTCTTCAGTTTACTGGCTTCTTCCTGATTCTAGCTACTAATGGCACCTGCTGCTTACACATGTGCTGATGTCATTCTGAAAAAACCTGGAAGTTAATGGTAAGGCTGACTTCTTCAATTATAGAGCTCTGGCTACTTGACAAGAGTCACTAATCATTATGGTCACTGTCTTTAAAATCCTGCAGCAGATCTTTTATTCTCATATTCAGTGGCTTTGAAGCTGAAAGAGTCCTTGTGGGGCAAGAACGGTGGCTAAGAGAAAATAAAGGAACTGCCAGAATAATATAACTGTGGTGGGAACAACATTTAGACAGTACATAAATAAAGTGCATCAAGATGCATAGATCTTCAACAAAGAATAGTGAAAACAGGTCAGTACCATCAATTCTGGTTTAAAGAAGCGTTCTTACTACATGTGGCTGGATAATGCTGACATGGCTTACTGAAATGTGAAACATGCCATCAATTTAAATGGCTACAGAATGATAGCAGACTGCACTGATATATACACTGGGTATTTCCCTTACTCATTTGATCAGCTTTTAAAAATATAGTATGGAATCACTATGCCAATTTGCAGCAGAAGATCAAAAAGCTGTGCCACCCAGAGCCACATTCCAATTCCTTCATATCCACCTTCCATTAGCCTAGGTGATGTATTGCAATAGAATAAAAAGTGTTAACAATGCTGTCAAAGTTTTTCTCTGTGCTTTAAGCACATGAGGTAATTCAGAGAAGCAACAGAAGGATATTCCTCCAGTTGAAGGAAGATCTGCAGATATCACACAGTTTAATCGTGCAGGCTATTTAAATAGCACAACAATCTCTGGATACTCATCCCAAGGCATCTTCAGACAGGAACATAGCAGATGAGCAACACCATAAGCAAAATCTGTGTTAAAAAATTGTAAGTACACAGCATTTTCTCCAGTTCTGACACCTTTTTAATAGAAATCACTTGTTTAGGAAACAAATAGCACTTTCGTAATTTTTACAATGTTTCTTACCTTGATCTTATTTTAAGTAACACTAGGAAGACCTCAGTATCTTTTTTCTTTTTTAATTTAAAAAAGTTGTTTTTCCCCCAGATACAAAGATTTTGCCCTTGCATAAAAAACAGTGCCCAAAACGATGACACACGGACTCACAAAGACTCACTGTATCTCACTGACACTATTACTTCTAATCTATACCATGCAAGGTCCCATCTACCTCTTTAATTGGACTGTCAGCCTGAAAAAACAGTTTTTCCATTCCTTATATTTGTAACCAAGAAAGAAAGGAAACAGGAATCAGGCATTTTAACTATTTGGGCAATATGTTTGGGACATGTGCTGTACTGTTTGGGATATTGTTATTATTATTTTTATTTTTTGCTTGACAAATGTACAAAAGAAAAAAGAGTTGAAATTTTCTTTTCGGTCTCAACTTGCTTCCCAAAAATCCAGGCTGATCACATCAGTCTCCCCTCCCTCTCACCTTCCTGGGTCAGTCTGACGAGCAAATCAGCAATACATTTTTGTTTGTCTGTTTGGGAAAAACAAAACAGGATACCCTAAAGCTGCCAGTATAGAGATCTCCAGCTTGCTGTATACTGCTGGATACTTGAGTAGAAAAATCCTTCTTCCTTCCTTTTTGTTTCTCCTGTCAAAACGAATACTGCTTATTGGATACATTTGGTTCCCGCCCGCCCACCAACCCCTGGACACTAGGAGTTGTTAATTCATATTTCTGGATTTTTGGTTTAGTAGTATGGAGAATTTAATAACAGGAAAAGCCCATAGGCTCTTTGGACTTGAAGTTCCCCTAGCTCAACAAACTGGTCTGCAGATAGGATTTGAAACCTGCTCCTCCTCCCTGCTCCCCACCCCCAAATAAAAAGAAAACAAACCCATAGTGGCTGTGGAGGCTGCTGCAGGCACACACTGGTGTAGAATATAGAGAGCAAATATATTATTTAACTTGGCATGGTGCTGGCTAAGAACCTCCAGCTGGCACTATTCATGTAACATGGTCCAAACTTTGCATGAACACACAGAATAAGAAGGATCAATTGGCAACTCTGGTGCCGCCTGGCACAAGCATCTTCATGTTCTTCCTGCAACCAAAGTTTTCTGCATTTTCCAGACGAAATCCGGCTTTGCTTTTCTAGAGAGTTTTATTGTTTTGCTCTTCCTCCTTGCCGTCATGTGCTGTGTTATTTAGTCTCACTGCCCTTGTTACAGTTCACCACACAACCCTGGGTGGGGGAAGAGGCTGGGCTGGAGGTGGCAGCATTTGCATTATTGGAGGAGTCCATGCCATTGGAAATGGTTACCGAACTGCCACCCGAGTTTATAGATTTTGAAAGATTGATGCCTTGGATGAGGCGAATTAACTGTTTTACCTTCTCCAAAGAACTGTGCATTTCCTTCTGTTTTGCCAGGATGGTATTCTTCATTTCCATACATTTCTGGAGGAAATTGGAACAATAAACTTAATGACTGCATTCATTAAAGAGATCCTTGAGTAGAAAGAAAGTCAAAACAAAGAAATCCCAAGATCCACCAGCCACCTGAGACTGAAAAAGCAGGCTTTTTAATCAAGTACCTGGATTACAATATGCTGTTGTCATGCCAAACACAGACGGCACTTGACACAGCAGGACCACAAATTTCAAAGAAAGCAAATGCACCTTCTGAAGGTGGGGTCTCAGCAGCCACAACTAAAGCACATGTGATGCAGTGGATTTATGTCTGTTGAGACAGAGCTTTTATTACAGTGCTTTGCTTACATAAAACTTCACAGGCATTTGGTTTAAGACCATGTCTCAGCAGACAGATGACAGCACCATACGTACCACAATCTGAACTAATCAGCTTTTCATTCAATGAATTTTTTTTTAAAAGGCAAAGATTAAATTCTCTCCATGGAAACGACTGAAATACCTTCTCTGTCTATCTTATAGGCATAGGCAGCACATACTAACCACAATCCAGCCAGGACGATTTGTGTAAAGAAATAGATTTCCACATGCAAGTTGCTCTTCTAGACTGACATTTTCAAAAGGAGAGTGGCTGCATGCAACCAGCAGAGAACTGTGTGTGTGTGTATGGGGCATCTTCTGCATCATTCAATGAATCAACAATGGTTTCTCATTATTTTGATTATGGTGGTCATCTGTTTTGGTGGGAGGAGTACTGTAGAATCTGGCTTATTCTCCACTCCACTTAAAACATATTATCAGTAAATGGGAGGATTCTTCAGAGCCTCTTAGGACTTTCTATTCAAAGGAAAACTGTTCTCCAGTGGGCCAAAGGGCTAGTGAATGATGTTAAACACTAACAGTCCCCAGAGTTCCTGGGAAGGGTTCAGGTCAAGGTGTTTTCTTGAAAAGTGAGATGTTTAAGAGATCTTTTAGTAAAATGGGAGCGTGAGAAGTGATATTACCGGGCACAAAGTGTCTTCTACTTATAATACTTTAACTAATTTATCCTAATATTATATAGGTCTTTACTTAAAAATACATACATAGATTTTTTAAAATTTTTTTTAACTCATATAGCCAAAATCTGTAATCTTTGAAAAATGGGGCACCCTACTAATATTAGAAGTTAATTACATGCCGTCAAATTGAAACTGATTTATAGGAATTTCAAGGCAAGCAGATATTTAAGGCATGATTTTACCGGTTCCACATTCCCAGTGAGTTTCCACGTCGAAGTGGGGATTCAAAACCTGGTTTACAGAGTCATAATCTGTCACTGCTACATGATACTGGGTACCATACCCTACTTTGAACTGATACTGTGGCAAAGAAGTGGCCATCTTCTAGAATTCATGGTTATTCCTCCTAGCAGAATACAATAGTAAGAACCAACTATCATTTGGCAGAGCGATACATACTGTTATAGAATTGCTGAGCTGCTTGACTTTCTGTTCTAGTTGTTCCCTTTCTTGTTTTAAATCTGAACTCCATTTCAGTAACTTCTGTTTCTCCTCTTCTTTAGCTGTGAAGGGGAGATTATAAATTATATCAACTGTACTCCACAGGTGGAATGTCCCAACTATTATAAAATTCATGCTAGAGCATACCTGAAGCTACACATACATACATAAAAAGACTCACAAGAGACTATTTAATTCATTTGATTATTCAGGTTATCATGTATTCAGTTCTTAATTTCCATTGAAAACAAACATGCTATGTCTGTTACTCAACCCAACAATTCTTCCAAAGAGAAGAAAATTAAGCCAAGCAAAGTTCTCATACCTGTTTTGTAGGCAATATATGAATGAACAATTGCTAAAGTCCCTGGCCATGGAATTGCTTCTTCTTTCTTTAGCATCTGAAAGAAAAGCACACAAATGTTAACTGATATGTTTTATGTCCAGCGAAGTCAGCAAGTTGTACATCCAAAAGACCTAAGCAGCTTGTGGCACCTAAAAAACTAATACATTTTTATTCTGGCACAACTTTTCATAGAGATAATGACTTGGCCCTTCTGCTGCAACAGACTACCACAGCGATAGCACTAGGAACACACAAAGGATTTTCTTTGAAAGCTGTCATTACCCCTAAAATGTTTCTTCTTAGATATTCCTATACAACACAGGAACTCCTTTTTTTGTCCTTTATTGTAACATATCCACCAGACTAGTAAAAGGTAGATGGCCCTCAACATCATTTCACATTGTGTCTCTGCAACTTTGAGATCAATGAGTCCCCCTTGGTTATCATTTAATGCAGGCACAGGAAACAGACAAAAACTCGTGCTGTTCCTACTCTCAGTCCTGCAGAAACAGTCTGCAAATTATGTCCACAAGTAATGGCTGGGGGAAGGGGCAGGTTCCAGATCAGAAAATCAACCAAAAATATAGCTAAAAAGGGGGGGGGAGGGAGTGTGCATTAGTGTTGGGATTTGTTTCAAGAAACAAATGCAAAGAATCGATGTTATAAAATTGTAGGTCATTGTGCAAGGAAAATAGATAGCCTTGCTGTTGGAAAACCATTTTGAAAGAACAGCAGATGTTACATGGTCACTTAAACATTTGGTCATTTCAATGAAGGAACATTCAGCTCCCAGAGAATACTTTTTAAAAAGCCCAATTAAAAAAAAGGAAGGGGGGGCGACGCCAAGACGTGGGCAGGAAAAAAGAGAACGATATTGCTGATCACTACTCCGTATGTACTAGTGGTATCTACAAGAAGCTTATGCACAGCATTCAGAATTGCTGTGTCAAGAGAGGGGAAGGAAGCAAAGAGATTTTCCAAGCACTTAAGGGTATTGGGGGAAGCTCCTCAGGAGAAGCATTTTAAAAAAAAAAACCATTCTGAACCACGCCCTTGCCACGCTCCTCAGACAAGTAAATATTTCATTTATTTCAACTCCACAAAAGCCTCCATTGTAACCTTGAAAAGCCCTTAAGACTAACAGCATGAAATACACATTTGTGCAGTATCTCTGACAAAGGAAGCCTACTTAATCAGACTATCAGCACTTTTGTACATTACTGTCCACCTACCAACATTTTTCTGCTGATGAAATTTCAACAAGCTGAGTAAGAATGAAAAGACAACTGATCTGTTTTTAAACCCAATAGGAGAAAACATAGTCATTTCAACATTTGCTGGCAAGCTGCTCATCTAAGTAGCCCATGGAAAACACAGTCTGACAGCAAAGAGTAATTTCCATGGAGAGAACTACATGTTATTTAAAAAACAAAAAACAAAACCAAACATTTGCCACAAATGACCTTGGTTGCTAACAGTAACTGTTGGTGTATTTTCAGGGGAGAACTGATAAGCAGAGAAGGGGAAATGGCTAAGCACTGGTTTATTCTACTTTATAAGCATTTCTCTCCACGCTCTTCCTGTCCTGCTTGCAAGCTGGGTTTATGTCTGCTCTCAGAGTAGGCAAGATTGCAGGGGAGGAATCTGCAGGTATAAGGAAGGCTTTTCCTACCTGGTTATTCTCCAATAAATGGCATTTTTTTCTGGTGTCATCCTTATGATTCAAACACAGAGGTTCTACATACACCAGTGGCTTAAGGCTTAACATATTGCACTTCCCAATTAAGACCAATATTATATTTGGTTGGCAGAAACTCTTACTTCAATTGAGGCAAAAGAATACTTGTAAGTTAAAAGGCACCTCTCCTAATGTTTGTGGAGCACTGACACTGTCAACTCATATGATGCTGAAATGCAGAAAACAGCTTTGGAATGTGGAACACAAAGCTGAGTCTGTTAGTTCATTCTAAAAAAAGTGTATTCACAGGTCAGACACCGGAGAGTACGGTCAGGCTCTCCCAGGCCATCTCAGTCTTACGAACCAATGTCATCCAGTACCAAAGCCGGTTTGAGAGGCTTTTTCTTGCATGTCAAACCGTACCTGATCTTGACATTTAGGACAGATCCACATGCCCTTGGGAATAGTTTTCAGAGGAGGGTCCAGACAATCCAAATGATATACACGTGAGCATGTGTCACACATCAGCAACTGGCCACTTTTTCTGCACACACTGCAAAAATCTTCATGGATATCGCCCTGTAAAATGAAGGCAAAGGGATGCAAGGAAAAAAGGTTAGCATTTAATGTTTATAATTTACATTCAAGTTCAAAGCCACTGCAAAAAGGGCAAGAGAGAAAATTCCGAAGGTTTCTTTTTTCCTCAGATGGATGTCATACACATGTGGAATAACTCAGATATTTTCTCTTTCTAGTACAACTGCAAACTGTTAAAATGTACATTAATGAAAATCTTTTTATATCATCTCTCCAAAAAACACAACTTAGACACAAGGCAGAAGTCACAGTGATCCCTAATCTTCAAAAATATTTCAAAGGCTATTATACTTTTAGCACTGATACAACACCTGCCTCCCAAGAGATTGTTCTAGCATTTAGACTGAGGCATTTCCCTTGGGTTTCGGGATAGTAGATAGATCTCAGACATTTAAAAAAGAAAAAGAAGAAAGTGACTGAAATCCGGTTGCCCAATGTAAGCAAAGTTGTCTGTTTGGTCTGTTCCTCACTGGTAAACAAAGAGACTCTGCTGCCATTACCAGGGTGAATGTGCACTCTCACCTCCATGAATGGTGAGAGGATTCTTCATTTACCAGCAAGGAACAGAGCAAAACTTTGTTTACGTGATGCATTCGAATTTTGGCCATAGAGAAATAGGCACACTCCCATGCTGGCAAACGGGGAAAACGCAGCTTAGAGCTAACACATAACAGAGAGGGAAGTGTCAAAAAATGGTGAGAGGTTCCTGGAGGTGTCTTCCAGTATTATCTTTATTTTAGGCAACTGATTACATCAGAGTTTGTTTCTTTTATTTACGGAAGTGTGAAAATATACCTGTGATGTCATGATTATTAATAGGCATCTATGATACCTTTATAACCACATTCTGTATACCATACATTGAAAAAGGGAGGACAAAAATAATTAAATAACAAAAACTTTCACACTGAGAAGACCACTGTGTTCTATATGTTGGGAAAATAAGTATCTGCAGGAGAAAGTCATCAGGATTAATAAGATCTGCACATAGTATGAGCAGCAAAATGACTGCAAAAGCACTGTGGACTACATTCTTGAGAATATAACATCCAGATTTTCATCTGGCTCTACCTATTAAAGTTAGAAAAGACTTTAATATGTACAGCCAGATGAAACTCTGGATGTTATACTCTTAGAAGAGGCGGGGAGGGAAAGCTATTCAGCTCTGAAAAAACAGTCTAAGTCTTCATATATTCCAGACTTGCACAAGTCTGGAATATCTGGAAACAAAACACTTTAATTTGAAAAAAATAATGTAATTTTAGAAAATGGACTAAATCCAATATCATGTGAATGGATTTCTCCTTCCAGAGTTGGACTTTGTTCTCCTCTCCTTCCACCTGCACCCAGCCCTGCAACTCTGGTCCAAAGAGTCTCTCAACCCTCTGCAACAGACAGGAATAAAGTGGATGCAGCATAAGCAGGAATCTTTTCCATCCGTGGTTCTCTATTCTCCTCACAGACAGGCAGTCTTGGATGCACCTTTATATAGGCTAGAATCCTGTTGGGATTTTATTCCATAGTAACCTGGTTGCATGCCAGTCACACAAGCTGGTAAAGAAACAGCACCTTATTAATTAGCTGCAATCCAGTACCATAACTTGTGCAATTTCAATTTTCTGGAGCAATACCACACTACAATCTTGGCCAGTATATATTTTTCATTTTAATCCAATAATAGCCACATTTGTTTCTAACTGTCTTAATTAAACAGGGACATCTGACAGAAAAGAGAAAATCAGTGACCGAGTCAGAACAACCCCTGTCAGAATAAGAAAGATCAAGTTAATGGCACCAGCTTTAATTGTCAGGTTTATTCATTTCTGCATTACTCTCTGATGGCCCCAATTCCTTAATAATGGGAGTCACTGTGACTGTAGATGAATTCAGCTGCTATAAAATTCCTAAGGATATATTTAGTTTTTGTCTGCTTCTCCCTGCTATTTTTTCCCACAGTCACTGTTTTTATTGGTAGATTATTCGGCAGATGTGGATGAGGAGAAAAAGCTAAGAAAAAAGGGTCTGATATGAACATTTTGATGAAGTGAAAGTTGTTCTGGCAAGGTGCTACACTCAAATCTCAATCTTCAAGTTCTCTTCAAATTTTGTACAGAAGGATGACATTCATAAAGAATAAAATATCTCCACCTTCTTAAAATATGGCATTCAGACTTTGACAGGAACTTGAGCAGTGGCAGGATTAATCATTTTTTGAGAATGAATTCTGAATTAGGCCATGTTTTCCATTGCCTTACGAAGTATGCTGGTGGACATCCTTTTATTAAGAATAAGGTATTAAATGGCTCCAGAGTATCACTCACCTGGAAAGGAGGATCAATTACAACCACTGACTATGACCCATACGTCCAATTCTGTAAAAGCCAAGTTTTTACACTCCTACAATAAAATGTCCATTGCAATAATTCCAATGGCTAATATGCTTCTCCTAATATCTGAGCAGAATGATTCCACTATTCAAAGTACAGGTGATAATGGAGGGAAAGAGCCCCAATTAACAGAACCCACATGATGCAGTAGCCCTAATTTCTAGCAAAATCATGCTCTCTTTGTAACCTCCTAAAACGTAATAACTAAGCAGATTTCACAGGAGGGTTGCTCCCTATAATTTGAACACTGTTGGACCCTTGTTATCAAAGACCATTTCATGTTGACATCACAGCTAAATTTTTGGGATCACTTGAGTGCTCAGATGAGGGCAGAATTCCTCCTTCGCTTGTGTTTTTTCACTGCACAGCAACACAAACAACAAACAGAACCCAGAAGTTGCTCAAGTTCTCTGTTGAAAATGAGCCTAAGCTACTGAGCATCATTTCTGAGAAATGTCTCTTCCCAATTATTACTATTGTGGCAGCTAAAGATACTTATATGATTTCAGAATCAGAGGTATCAAGCGGCATGGAATATAAATCTTCTGAAGAAAATGATAGTAGTGTGATGTAATGTATTTTGTGATGTGCTTTGTAGATATGACACAAACATTCTAGGGCTTGAGTGTTAGAAGATAATTTGAAATACGTAATTACTGAAGGTCAGAACATACTCTAAAACTAACAACATAAAGCAAAAGGAATAGCAATGAGCAAAACCTCACTGGTCTCTTGTTTTATTTTAAGCAGAAATCCATACATAGGAAATAATTGTGTTTGGTTCCGATTAGGGCTTTCTCCTTGAATCAAAGATTCTTATTACAGATGGCTATTACTGTCAGCTTAGGACTGCACTATGCAGGGAAGGGGACAATGGGCCATAACCTATGGACACAATTAGGTTTGGGCAAATGTGATTATTTCCTGCAGCTTGTTAATGATACTCTATTCTTTTATTTCCCAAATTTAAAGTTCTAGTGGGTCTTTTCTTTCGGTAACAGAGGCTGCTGTAGTCATTTATTCCAACAATGCTATATAACCTATATGCAAATCTAGATGCACATGGGAGGAAAATAAGTGAATGATGCATTCTTTTTTCTTCAGATCAATTTTCATTACTGCCTTTTGGAAAGCTGCAAAATTTCAATAATACCATATACACAGAATGCAGGATCATGGCTGCCAACCTAGAGATCATACACACTCTAGGAATAGTAAACATTAATTTTATCTTTTGCAATATCAAGGCTAGATTTGATTTAAATCACATTTTAACTTATGTTTTTATGATTTAAATAAAAATGATTAAAAAAATTTAATTTGTGATTTAAATCATGATTTAAATTTGAATTTTAAAAATAATTTATTTCTATTCACTTTGGAAATATCCAATGGTGCAGAAGTTTAGATGTACAGATGTTGATTAGGCAAGTGCTGGCTGCTAGAACAATAAGATCACTGATACTCTAGTTGGAGCAATCTTTAAACTGCTTTTCATGAAAGAGATGTATGGACTTTCATCTTTGCAGCACAACAAAACATACTGGAGGCACACCTCCCTCCCTCTTCTAGAACATAATTTTTTTGACAAATATCTGTCTGCTTGAAACATGTGCTCATTAGGTGAGTCTGATAACAAATATGAAGCTACTTTAAGATGAATTAAGAAAAGCAACAAAGGTTGAGAAGCAACCAACCAATTCCAATTTCAACTTCATCTTTGTGAGGTGAGTAGTTAATGACACAGATAAGTCTCAATTCAGCCACAGCCAGCAGCACAGAAGGCAACTGTGCAGAGTCTCTATTCCACAGAGGAATGCTGTCACAGAAGGAAATATTTCTCCCAAGTAGCTAGGCATGAGGAAATGGAAAAGAAGGAGCCAATCAGTAAAGACTCTCAGATTCTGCTATTCCTGAGCAATGTAATGAGCTTGCTCTTCCTTCATTGATTCAGAAGTTATTACCAGCTGTAGAGATGGGGATGAATACAAAAACGGATATTTTTCTGATGAATATAGCCAATTTGTCATATATTTGTCGATCCGTATTTGTAAAATTTTAAATCGGGACGAATATGGCTTGCCAAATATTTCCTTGGTTTTATTTGTCGATTCATTCATATTCGTCTATATTTGTTACCCCTTTTGGGGGCCTCGCTGAGCTTGCTGGCGCCAATTCGAAGTTCTAGCCAATCAGGACAGAGATCCTGGACTGGCATGTCTGGCAGCCAATAGCGCTGCTGAAAGGTGTATTTACTTTTACAGAAGCTTCATATACGCTTTTCCCGTCCAGCTGTTCCCCACTTCTGTTCATGCTCTCCGGAGTGAGAATGGTTGCTACTCGTTGGCTTGCTGGTGCTCCTGCAGTTTCACTTTTGTGGCAGCAAAGCAAAGATATTGTTCTTTTTCATCACCATTCATCAATCGTCATCATCTTTACTGGGATTTTGGGTAGCTTAGGCTACTTCTTCAGAAGGGCCCTCACTCTATGACTCTGCGAGGGAGGTGGTCTGTGACTATTTTTCACGGCTACAGGGGTCCAAGGTGCACTTCAGAGTGGACCTGTGGAACAGAGGTCAGCATGGCTACTGTACCT